CTAAAAGAGAATGATAAAAAGTCATTGTATTTAATCAAAGAGAAATTATAAAGACTCGGTATGTTCAAAAAAAGAAAATTAATTCTTACTAAAGCCATGGAGATTTGAGATGTAGATGTTTGTTACATAGGTAGTCAATAATATAATTCAACGACGATAAAAGATTTAAAGTAATACATAAGTCAAAAGAAATTATTTAACAATAAATTAATACAAATCATCAAAACATAAAAATGAATAAATAATAAAAAAATCCTTTTTTGTCATGATCAACTGTATGTGACTGTGTCATGAGTTACCAAGCGTGAAAAGTTAAAGATATTGATAAGTAACACTGATGATACCTCAAGTAGTTCCACGATAAATGTATATCCAGAATTTTCTCAAAATGTTTCATTTCTACAATATTGTAATGTATTGTTTTATAATGCATTTAGTAAACCAATTTATGAGCCCGTTTGGTGACCCCTTTTTCCGGCTTCTCAGGCTTATCAGCCAGTTTTTTCATCAAACACGTAACTTTTGATTTCGCGTGCTGAATTGTGTAATGAGCAGAAAAAGTAAGGTTGGAGTTACTTTTGTGGCTGTCTATATTGGCTGAAGTTACTGTAGAGGATCATTTTATTAAATTTTTCATATAATTTTTTATTTAATTTATTAATAAAAAAATTTAAATATAATTTTTTCATGAATCAGCCAATACAGCCACTTCAGGCAGAAAATCATACATTTCAGCAGAATCAGCCAATTTTAGTGTTACCAAACGGGCTCTATATTTGTTTCATATTATTTCATTATATATTCTACATACATATTTCAATGTGTCGTACAATATAAACCATAAACTGAAAACATTTTTGCACGGGCACTACTACTTTTTTCTTAATTATTGAAACTTTTTATTGTATTGTGACTTTATGTAAACTTCAAGCTATAATGACTTCACAAAATTAGAAATTTGTACTAGCTATTAGGTTATTGCATGACGGGGCGGGATGGCCCGCCCCGTATGGGGCGGGTCATGGGCCAACATCTAATGACTCATGCGGGTCACAGGGCGGAGCGGGTCCAGCTAGTTATGTCATAGGGCGGGTCCGGATCCTGCACTACCCGCCCCGGCCCGACCCATTGCCATGCCTACATCTAAGGCCGGTTTTGGGCATGTGCAATGAGACATACGCCAAGGGCTCATTGCTCCACTAGAACTCATAAATTTCTCAATTATATGTGTGTGTATATATATTATGTATACATTTTAAGATCAATAAAAATTAAAAAATAAAATCAAACTTATAACTTCTTTTTATACTTTCAATTCATCATTCAACAACATCTACATGCTACAAGTGTAAGTTTTAAAGCATCCACATCAGAATTTCTTGGGATCATACTGCACCGTTTCTTTTGGTTCATAAACGGTTAGTGCATTAATGTTAATATTTTGATCTACTTATCTCATGTATTCTCATGATTCATTGATAATATTTCGCTAATTTTATTTGGTTTTCTCATGTAAGTGAAATATTGGACATTTGAACCATAGTATCCTCAATTTAGAAACTTGTAGTTTGTTTTAGTCTACTGAAATTGTAATATGAAAAAATTACAACTTATATGATATAATTTTCACGTCTTCCCCAAAATCTTTTGGGATTAAGGCTTGGATGTTGTTGTTGTTGTTTTTGTTGTCGCAAGTAATAGTTGTACTACTTGTTTCATTCAGATGATTTAAATATATAGTATCATCAACTCGATGTCACTTATCAAATATAATTACTTTATTTTACTTATACATTATTTATAATAAAAATTATTATAAACATTTACACGTTATCAGAAAGGTCTGCTCTAATTTTACTATCTTGGGCCCATAAAATGTCAGGACCGGGCTCACACCACTCTAATTTTTTTTAATCGTCAATTAACCTTCTTTCATATCATAAATTTCAGGATTATTACATCAATCAAAGGAAAAACAAAACTGACACCAACTAAATTCCAACAATTACGACTGTAAACCCTATGATCAGACTTAGAAACGGTCACCCCTGAAAGAGCAACGCGAATCGCTAACCATGTAGCGGGTTTGACACAGCCAAATGACAAAGAAATAATAACTAATAGGAAAACTTTCACGGACTCTGTCACCTCGTACAACCCATGACGGTGGTTCCGGAGAGTGGTACCATTCTAATTGACCCTCCATTGTCAATCGTCATCTGACCTGCTCGAAAGCCGTGCAACTCTCCTTGTCCCGCACTCTTAGCAAATCCACCGCTAGCGGTCATCTTCATTGTTGTCATGCCCTTGCTACCCAAACTCATTCTTCCTCCCAAAAAAAGAGAACCAATCGGATCGTCTATTGCATAGAATCAAAATGAAAGGAAACGCCATAGCAGATCAACGTTTGACAGCAACCGAGCGCTAATCCTGACGACGTAATCCAAACAGAAACACACAGATCGAACAAAAATGGCCAGAATCCACGATCAGAATTGATCGCCGCCGGAGAAAAAGGCTCTAGCGGCTAGGAAGCCCTAGAGAGAGAACGACTGCGCAACCGTAGGTCCAGAAGTAAACAAGTTTAATTTATGGTTTATTTTAAATATGAACTTTAATAAAATGTAATGATGATAGTTTGGGTTTCAGGGTATTTGTAGAAAATTACTTCCAAATTGGGCTGTTATATCTGATCTATTGGCCTAATTTTGATACTGGCCCAACTCTAACTGAAATTAGTCCATAAAACCAAAATTAAACGGTGATTAGCCCTCAAACCATCCGCATCCCCGCGCCGTCTAAAAACATAAATATGAATTCTGTTTATATGATAGTATGATACATATTACTTTTAATAAATTAATTAATGTATTTGCTAAATTGATATGTAAAAAAATACATAGAGTGTATTGTATTGACGGTGTTAGAATGCGAGGAAAAACGATATTGACAGAGTCATGCGCCGTCTAAGAACTTAAATATGAACTCCGTTTATATGAAAATAGTGTATCTACTCTGTCAATATCGTTTTTCCTTGCATTGTAACACCATCAACACAATACTCTCTCTCTATATTTTTTACATATCAATTCCGTAAAACAATAATTAAATTATTGTAAGTAATGTTTTTCTTTGGGGGTTTTCCCTAAAAAATTATGAAACTAAAAAAATACACATCTCAATGTAAAAAAAAAAATCGTTATTATTTTTACTATGTTGTAATAAAAAATACAAATGAGTTTATGCAAAGTTTGATTATTGGTGAGGCACCATGAAATAATAGTAAAAATGCCATTTTAATGGCATTTTTAAAATACAATTTGGCATTTCTTTTAAAAACCAAAGCAAATGAAGAAGATGAACATTATTTGCCATCATCGAGGGAGAAAGAGAGAAGAAATAGAGAGGTGGGATTGAGGAAGACCAAGAGGAAGCAAGAAAGTGAGAACACATATGAACTTACTTGCCACTCTGCCGCTCGTCGCCGCTTGCCGCTCGTCGCAGCTCGTCGCCACCCTTTGTAGTAGCTCGCTGCCATTTGTGTAGGTGGTCTCTGTTCTTGCGCTCACAGTTGCACAAGAGAAAGGAGATGCGCAGGTACGATCGATTAGAAAAGGGGAAATGTGTTGCATGATGGAATTAAAGGAAGTGGGGGTAAATTGGTACAATAGTCCTATTTAGGGGATAGAAATATACTTACTCCCATTTGGGAATTTAAAAAACATTTTAGTCCTACTTAGAGCAAAAAACTCTATTTTTTTACTGAAAGATTTTAATATGATGAACGGTTTTCCCATTACACTTTACACATATCATTAATCTACTTATCACTTAGCACACAATCATGTTTAACATCAAAGGAATAAACATATTGAACTAGATTGTCATCTTATTAGAGAGAAAATTCTTAATAATTTATTTAACTTGTTCCCAGTATAAACAACCTTCAACTTGCGGACTCCACTCTTTGAAGACTTCACTTCCAAGATGAACATGACAGACATTTATGCCCATCATCAGGGGTTTCAAGGACTCAAAATAAAAGAAATCAAGAAATAGGACCAGGTAAAACCGTAAAAAATAATGATATAAATAGTACTACGTAAAATAGTATATATTCGTACTTTTACTTCTCTGTTAATATATAGGAAAAGCCTTTATTGTAAAACACTTTATTTAAACTTTTTCCATCATTTGCAATGAAACTAAAAATTCACTATTTTTTGGCTTGGGAATATGATGGAACAAAACAAAATAGTTCACTGAATTGTCTGCGCTTCTTTGTTATAAAGTAGTAATCAATCCATGCAATTTTCGACGTGATTTTCAGTATGGGTCATCGAAAACAGCTTTTTTCTGCTTTAGTACATGGATAAGGTTGCGTACATCTGGGGGCCCTTACCGCACCGTAAGTGGGAGCCTTTGCAGCAATGGGGTGGTGATGATGATGAATCAACTCTTATATTCTTCTTCTAAGAACTCAATCTTTGCAATTCTCGACCATCTCATGCACAATATCTAGATAATAACATTGCAAAAAAGAAAGAGAGAAACTCTAGTAATTAACTTTTGTGTCTATTCCTCTCCTGTGATGTATGTGTTCACACTTTTGCATTAGAAATGCTTTAAAGTATAAGATGTGTTGTGAATATGTTGATATGTTCTTGAGTCATTGGAGTGCCCCAAACAAGTTTTCTAAGCAAAGAGCAACCAAAGCAAACGAGGAAAATGTGTCTTCAAAATCTTATCGGCCTGCTCAATTGGTATGGAAAACATGCTTTGGGAATTGGGCCTGCACAACCAGAATCGAATTGCATCCCTAATAAGCTATACTACCTTGGTACTTTAACAGCCATCTTGCTCCACCAATTAAGAACAAACACCAATTATATGATATGGAATAATTTTCCACATTTTCCCGAGTGGGAAACACCTTTGAATTGCGAAGACATGAGTCCTGCGGAGTTTCCAGGGTACAAAACTCCGTTTGTCAGGTCAGAAAAGGGAAACATATATACTATACTGTCAAAAACTTCATAAAATACGTTAATGTCTATACATTGTTACCGAAATGCATGTAGTATAATATATATTCACATTGAGCTAGAACAATAAAAATGGCTTGATAACTGATGGAAAGAGAGGTAGGAATCACTCCATAGTGCATGAATCATTCTAATGCTGAGATGCAGCACTAGCAACGAGCAAGAACATGACATATGAAGAGAGGGAGAGAAGAAACCAGGCGAAGAATGCCATAGCTATTGATATTTGAAACATGGTGCACGACAGCTTTTCCATTCTTTGGCAGATGGTTGTGTCCCTGTCGAACAAGATTGCCACTCCAGCTGATGCGCATGCTGCTGCCAGCGATAGTGTCGCTGTCACCTGCATGTATTGTGTAACACCACTTTAAGTGCAAACCCGGCACATCCATCTGGTAAGGATAATTTTTCTTTGAAAATGCAGAATTTTTTTAATATGTTTTTTCTTCAAATTTAATTATAGAAACCAATACTCCGTCTAAATGTGTCACCTGCATCTTTGGTAAGAGTACATTTACTTGGAACTGCTGAATTTTTTCTTATTTTTAGATAAATTAAAATAATAATGCCTACAATGAAGGTCAAAATGTAATTTACCTTCATAAATAGATACAAACTTCATAATGACCTTTTTCATTACCAACAGAATTAAGTTAGTGTTATGTAGAAAAGGTGGTCTGCCAAACAAAAAGCTAAGTGCTTGTTCGGTATCACTTCTAACTTTCCAGTTTTTTGCTTTATGATATCATGGATCGATTCATGTTAGCCGACCCCAAAAGTTTTTAGGAATAAGGCTTGGATGTTGTTGTTGTTGGCTTTATGATTTTCAGAGTTACTTCATATATGATGTAGGTGGTGTAATGAATAAAATAAGTAGTCTTATTCATAAGAATCGTGTGCATTTGAAAACCACTTATCATTTTCATAATCTTGTTTTAGTTTGGGAAAAAAAGCATTAAAACAAATATGATTGGTGGGCCTAAAATGATTTATTGTGTCTTGAAACTTGTTTAATCTGCTAATTGGCCTTCCACAGTTAGGATCGAGTCTAGTAATGAGTGCATATTCAGCTCAAACACATACACTCTGATCTACGAAGATGAGTGGATGTTTTTTCTTTAACTTTGCTGACTTAGAGTTAATTCACATGTTCTTTGTCGTAGGAAAAAGGCTGTCCTTAATCTTAAAACAACTCAACAAGCCCTTGCATGTTTTTTGAGGAAAAATACAGCTAAGGAGTCTCTTGATATTCCAACATGAGTTAACTTTGAAAAGCTAAGGCTCCATTTGATTGTAGGAAAAACTTAAATTGTTGTCAAAAATATTTTCTATGCAAAATGTTTTCCTAAAAAATAGGTTGCTGTATTTACAAAAGTAATGTTTGGCATGCATAAATGGGTGAAAAAAGTTGTTTTACTATTTAAAGCTGGGAAGTCATTTTCTGCTAAAACCTATACTGTGAACATCTTTTCCTGTACCAAATAAGGGAGAATCCAGAAAATACTTGCCAGGAAACAAACGGGGCCTAAAACTACATCACGAAACCTGTAATGCTTGAGTTTCTAGCAGATGAAAGTTACAAGAAAAACAGGTCAACCCGTAATTCAATACCCCTTGTTTGGATGTGGGTATTGAGGGGCGATATATTTTATTAATTCAATCTTCCATTAGTTGGTTGGATGGGGGGTGAAAACGAGAACTCATGAAGAAATACATGATTTTACTATGAAGATAGTCATGTTCTGAATCTTCTGATCTAATATTAATAACTAACAGGTGATAGAAAATCCGTAAACCACTACCCCCCCCCCTCCAAATTCCTGAATAAAATGAGGTATAGAGTAATAAGAGCCTACGACTAATCCCCTCCCTTCAAATTAGCTGTCGACATGTCATTTTGAATGCCATTCTTAACCTCAGAAAATAAACATCAAGAAGCAAATGAATTACAAGATATAATAAAAAAAATCTAAAAAAAGAGCAGGAAGAGTACGTACCCAATCACCAACAACGAACAGGCTCAGTAAAACATGATTTTGCATATCTCTTTTCAACCGCAAAGCATGAATATCAAGACACGCAAGTGCAAAGCTCCATAACACTTGAAGCCCCATTGAAGCAATCAAATAGCTGATCCAAATGGCAAGCACAACTCCATAAGAAAAATAATCAAAATGAGATTTCAAAGCAAATATCTATTATCTAGGGGGGGATTAACTTAAAAGTCATCTCAAATAATTTCAAGCTTTAGATTGTGTGCTTCACAGCATAAACATATCTACATGAGTATGCAAACAAAAGATATGGAAATGGAAAAAAAAATATGCATGATCTGAAGTAAATATGTGGTAGGAGTGTGGGACCCTTCCCCGGACTCTCGCCTTACATGGATGCCAATGTGCATTGGGCTGCCCCTTTTTTATATACATGATCTGAAGTAAAAGCATAGATATCACAATGAACTCTAACTCCCAACGTATTTATACACTAAGTAGTAAGTAGTTAAGTCGGTACTCAGTGACTACTTGGTTGGGGCCGAGTAGTGAGTAGAACCAATTTCTCGACCATGTACGGGAAAGCAATTTTAAAATATATGCAACTAAACTGTAGTAATATTAGTCTGGTAAGTCTTACGTGTATAAAGCAAAATAAATAATCCACATTAACTAGCATATATCATAAACATTTAAAGAAGATAAATTATTAAACCAATCCTAGTTTTTAACTTATATCCTCAATTAACATTCAGAATAATTTCCAGGATAATTGATTACAACAAATTACTTCTGCACCACACATATTCTTAGCAATAATTAGGTGAAGAAGAAGTGGAGAAGACCACAAAGAGCTCACCAAGACACAAAGCCACCACATTAGTTGAATATTTTGTAATCTTCCCTTTTTCCTTTTAATGAAAAAAGTCTACTTTTATTTCAAATCCCATAGTATCCGCATCTTTAATTTCATAATTCAGATTTCACACAAAAACCATTGTAGTATGATGAGTTACTTGGCATGTAAAACGACTCACCAAGTCATGAATATTCCCAAGAACTAAGCAATGAACTCAGGATTATGGAAAGGAACTAACAGCTAAACTACATGGTATGCATATGTTCGAGTAGAAAGTGTATTTGAAAGGACACCATAGGGAAATGTCAAAACCAAACTATAAAATTTGAACAAAGAATATCAAGATCACAAGAAATAGTACAAGAAGTTACCAAGAAGCATACCTTTGGAATTCAGAGTGATCTACATAAAGAAGTTATTCAGCAAAAAAAAAATAGTACTCCCTTCTTTCTGTTTTAACTTTATCTTGAGAGAGAGAAAAGACATTGCCTCAATACTTATTGTCACTTCAGAACATCAAGAGAGCAATACTGCAACCTTAACTCTTACCCTTCCAATATTGTTACATAGTGCTTTAAATCATTAATAGGAGTATTATAGTCATATTTTAGTATTTTTAACATGACATGGGAAAACTTTATTTCTTTCTTAATATGTGTGCATATCAATGTAGTTAAGATCGCGAGTTGACTGGCAAGATCACATGATCTTACAAGTGGAGTAGTGTGAAACGGTCTGGATTGTGCTCCTAATCGAGAAAAATGGCCATCTACCGAGACCCAAACTCTGCTGACGTGAATCAGGCGGGCTGTGTTAGGTCATCAATGCAGGTCGAAGAAAGAATGGAAAAAACTTAAGAAGCATCGGAGACTCGGCCTATAAAATTATTCACAATTCATTCTCTGCAAGCCAGAGCAACTCAACGTCTCTATAAACAAATAGCCTCATATAGCTTTTCTATTCAAATTCTTCTCAGAAATGGAGTTCATGATGATTTTAGTGCTCAACTGCTTACTCCTTTTCTCTTCGAAAGACCAACAAGATTCTCAATCACTTCTAGCCTATGTTGCATGGGGAAATATGAAATGGGAAATGCCATGTTTTAATGGAGAAGTGAGTGCTTGGAGAGTTTCTAAAGAGTTTCTGAAACAGGAACACACTTTTTCCTACTAGACCCAGTGCATATGATTTGTACTCTCTAAGACGATCCACCTTTAGTTGCAATTCAGAGAGGCAATCCCAGTCACGGGCCTATATCCCCATTCTGACCATGGCCAAGATTATTTCATCCTACTTGACTTGTAAGACCGATCGCACAATACTTAATTGTGAATGACTCGAGACCTTAAAAACATTGTTGGCAATAAAACAACCTATCTTCCACTAAATATAAAGCTGCTCTTCTATGAAGTGGCCAAAAAATCCCCAACTCTCTCGTTTCAATCACAGGTAGCAACATTAAAAATATATGTTCAGTGATTTGATTTTTATTGTGATATCACAATATAATTACATGAATAACATCAAATCAAACAGCCTATTAAAATCTGAAACTAAATAAGTGATAGTCATAAGGAATGGTAGGAGAAAACTAAGAAAAAAGGAAATCAGAACAAGGAAAGTAACAGTAGGAGAATGTAGTACCAGAAAGCAGTGGCAGCGGAGAAACCAGAAGCAGAAGCCATAACCGCAATAGACGCAGCAGCGAACCCACACTGTCCTATCCTCAAAAACAGCCCACTCACCGTCCCTGGGCTCCCAAATAGAACCATCATAGTCTCTCTTTATAACACCGTATTGTTCTATTATTATTATTATAATGATCCCTAGTATCTATATTGTACCAAGATTGAATCTTTCTTGAGAATGTGCTCTTTTTCCGGGAAGACGAACAGAAAGGTGATATCTTTCTTCAGATCATTCTCACGGGATGCTACTACTGCACTGGGATTTCGACAGCAAGAACACAAAACACAAACCCTAAACTACAGAAATGTGTGAGGAACGAGGATCACTAAACCAGAAATCCGATTACAGCTAGCTTATACTCCGTACAAGGAATGTCACTAAAATCCAGAATTAGATGTGAATAAAGTACGTGTGAGTACTCTGAGATTAGGTGTAAGAACACCGGTATCATTTATTTTGTAGTGTCATTTTGGTCCACATCTTAACAGAAAAGTGACGGAAATGGAGGAGTGGTGGACACTTTCAGCGAATTGGCCACCTTGCCATATCATACCATTTGCTTTTACTCCGTATTGTATTGGACAACCGGTAGTGTTAGGTTGTGTTTTCCATTGCCTTTGGAAAACACTTCTCATTTAAGAACCCTGGTGTTCGCAAACATAAACTTTTTCTTAATTTTGAGCGGTTAAAAGCACAGTTATCTTCAAGAATTCATTTGAATGCTTTCCTGATTGACTTTTTAGCTGAAATTTGGTATGAGTAAACTAGACTTAATGAATAAGATGCTCAAAAAAAATTATCAAAAAATTCCACTGGGAACCGCCTCAAATGGCACGTCCGGACAGAATCTTCTATATAAGGACTTATTTGATCCCTTTTATGCAACTTCGAGGACCAAACTGACCTTTTACTCCTTTTACTTTGGGGGTATTAATTAATTCTTACGGCATAGGAGAAATCATTAGTACTATGTGTGAAAGTGATCTCCAATAATTTATTTCATGTTGTGTATATATATGTGTGTGTGCAAGTATATATTTAAGCAGCGGCGGAACTAGGGGGTGCGAGCCGGTGCCGGCGCCACCCCTTGTCCGGAAGAGTCAAGCTATATATATATGGTTATCCGCCGCCCGCCCCTGTTTTCTGAAACTTCATCTTCTTCATAAAATCGTCGGCGCCCAGATCTACTTCCTTGCGAAGCCCGTTTTGTGTTTTAAAAATTCAATAAGTTAAATGGTGTCGTTTGTTTAAGTTAAATGACAAACTAAGTAAAATGAAACGGCACCAAATACCCGTCGCAACTATACTACGGAGCAAAACAATGGAAATTTCCTTCCTCGGTCAGCGGTCTGTAGGGAGTTTCCACCTTCTTTCTTGGAAGTTGCCAAGAGACACCTTAACATGGAGGCACCTTCTTGGAAAGAGCTCTCCAACAAATAGGTGTGGGAGAAGATATGGAGATACCTTGGAAGCTTGGATGCAACTTCCTCTTGTCTCCAAACTAGTCCTATAAATAGAGTGCTCCATTGTTGTTCATAGTATCAGTTTAGAAAGTGAGAAAAGTGTGTGAAGAGTGAAAATACACTTAGAGTAGAAGTGTATTGGTGATGATTGGTTTTTTGTAATAGTTGAGTGTGAGAGTTTGCTCCTCCTATTGTAATTCTGTTCTTGATATTGAATAGAAGAATTTTCCAATCCCAACAAGTGGTATCAGAGCGAGGTTGAGTTTCCATACACCGTTTTCTCATTTTCAGATAAATTTCTACAGGTTAGAAAATCGTGATTTTTGAAGTTGCTCGGAATCACGATCTGATCATACCGTTAGATTCGTCTCGTCGAGACGAGAAATCCGGTATTTTTGGGGAATTTTTTGGCCACCGAAAGAGGCCGTACGCGCCGCCCAAACGCCGCCTGAAAACTGCCTGCGTCATCGCTGCGTCATCAGGCTGTCCAGAGGAAGAAGACGACCAGTCAGCGCCACGTCACGCCCGTCAGCTGACACGTCACCCTACCAGGCCGTCGATCCGTGCCACGTCGTCGCCACGTCAGCGACACGTGGCGCCACGTCATCGACACGTGGCGCCACGTCATCGCCAGCGCAGAGCCAGCTGTTGCCACGTCATCCGCCTGCTGGTCTGCTCACTGGGCTGCTGCCTGAACCGGACCGAACCGATTCGTACTTGTGGAGGCCGGTTCACCCATTTCCAGACCGGTTTTGGACGAGGTCAGACCAGTTCCTACCATTTTCGGCCAATCCGGATCCAACGGTGAGCTCCGTTTGTCCAAATTCGGCTCCGAAAATAAGGTACAAGATATTTTGAGTGTTTTATTATGGATAAATCATCATCGGACACCATGATTGCACTCACTTCCACAAATTACAATATGTGGAAGCCTCAGATGGAGGATTTGCTAAATTTGAGGGATTTAGCCGATCCTCTTGATAATAATGGCGTGAAACCGGATAAAAAGACGGATGAAGAATGGACAAAAATGAATAGAAAAACTGTCGCACAAATTCGACAGTGGATAGATCATAGTGTGTTCCACCATGTTGCGCAAGAACAAAGTGCTTACACACTATGGGAGAAGCTTGGTAGCATGTATCAAGCAAAAACCGCCCGAAATAAGACGTTACTAATGAGGAGATTAGTAAACCACAAGTTACGAGGAGGTATTTCGGTGTCAGAACACACCAGTCAATTCCAGGATCTTGTGAATCAGTTGAGCACCACAGGATGGGTTCTCAAAGATGAAGAGCAGGTGATACTACTCTTGAGCTCTCTACCTGACAGCTGGGAGACTCTTGTTGTCACTCTCAGCAATTCTGCTCCCAATGGCAAAGTGACTATGCAGATGGTCACAGATGCCCTTATGAACGAAGAAGCCCGAAGAAAAGAAGCCGGGACTGAACAATCATATGCCTTCGTGTCAGAAACCAGCAGACGAGGGGGAGGCAGAAATGGAGGAAGAAGTCGAGGTCGAGGCCAAGGTCAAAACAAAGGAAATTCTCAAGTTCGCGGCAGATCACAAGAGAGAGGTATGTCCTTTGAAAACAATACTTGGTTTGAAGGATATTGCAATTACTGTAGTAATTATGGGCACATAAAAAGAGATTGTAGAAAGTTTCTACGAGAGCAGCCACAGACGAGTCAAAATACTAGCCAAGAAGATGGTGAGACCATGGTTAGTTTGTCATCAGACGTGTGTCTTGTTACACATGGTGAACAAGAATGTTTGCACGTAGGTACTCATGATGTTGAGTGGGTGATTGATACAGCCGCATCATTTCACGCTACTCCACACCAGAACTTGTTCACATCTTATAAGTCCGGAGACTTTGGAGCTGTGAAGATGGGAAACACGAGTTTCTCGAAGATTGTTGGCATTGATGATGTGCACATAACAACCAATGTCGGATGCGCACTTGTGTTGAAAGATGTTCGATATGTTCCGGATCTTAGATTGAATCTTATCTCCGGTACAGCTCTGGATTAGCAAGGATATCTTAACCGATTCAAAGAAGGTACGTGGAAGTTATCTAAAGGTTCCTTGGTTGTTGCAAGAGGCCATATTTGTGGCACTCTTTATAAAACTCATGCAAAGTTGTGTCATCCAAGTCTTAATGCTGTTGAAGAAGAGATATCACCAAACTTGTGGCACCGGAGGCTAGGCCACTTGAGCGTGAAGGGATTGACAACTCTTGCAAAGAAGCAAGTCATTTCCATGGGCAAAGGTGTTGCCCTAGATCCATGTGAGCATTGTCTATTCGGGAAACAACACATGGTTTCCTTCAGTTCTACCAGGAAGAACCATTCAGAGTTACTCAGTCTTGTACACTCTGATGTATGCAGTATGCGGACCCATTGAAGAGGAGTCACTTGGAGGAAGCAGGTATTTCGTGACATTCATTGATGATGCATCACGAAAGGTATGGGCTTATTGTTTGAAGAGTAAGGATCAAGTGTTTGATCGCTTCAAATTATTTCATGCCATGGTAGAAAGAGAAGCAGGGAAGAAGTTGAAGTGTCTACGTTCAGACAATGGAGGAGAGTACACTTCCCGAGAGTTCTCAGCATATTGCGCTGCATACGGAATCCGACATGAGAAGACGGTTCCACGAACTCCGCAACACAATGGTGTAGCCGAAAGAATGAATCGGACCATTATGGAGAAAGTTCGCTGCATGCTGAGTATGGCTAAACTACCTAAGCCATTCTGGGGTGAAGCTGTATTGACAGCTTGTTATCTTATAAACAGGTCACCTTCTGTTCCTTTAAACTTTGAAGTGCCAGAAAAGAAATGGTCAAGAAGAGATGTTTCTTACTCTCACTTGAAAGTGTTCGGGTGCAAGGCATTTGCACATGTGTCCAAGGAGTTGAGACAGAAGCTTGATCTCAAGTCAAACCCATGCATCTTCATCGGGTATGGTGATGAAGAATTCGGATACCAGTTGTGGGATCCCAAATTGAAGAAAGTTGTACGAAGCAAAGATGTTGTATTTCATGAAAACGAGTTTCATGAGTGTGCTCCAATAATCCGCCAACAACATACTCTAGAAGACGAAGTGCCTGTATCATCAAACATTTCTCTCAGCGACGAGGAGATGCATGATTCTACTGAACAAGAGAGTGATGGTTCAGCAGGTGATGATGATACTCACGGTGATGATATTCCTCAGCAGGGGGAGCCTTCATCTGAAGACGAAGCTGAAGGTACTCATGTTCGACGTTCTATGCAAGAAATAGTTCCCCAGAGAAAGTATTCCACATCTGATTGGATACTTGTTGCTAGCGAGGGGGAGCCAGCGAGCATCGCAGGAATGAGAGAAATAAAGAAAAAGGTGGAGGGGGAGATTTGTAGGGAGTTTCCACCTTCTTTCTTGGAAGTTGCCAAGAGACACCTTAACATGGAGGCACCTTCTTGGAAAGAGCTCTCCAACAAATAGGTGTGGGAGAAGATATGGAGATACCTTGGAAGCTTGGATGCAACTTCCTCTTGTCTCCAAACTAGTCCTATAAATAGAGTGATCCATTGTTGTTCATAGTATCAGTTTAGAAAGTGAGAAAAGTGTGTGAAGAGTGAAAATACACTTAGAGTAGAAGTGTATTGGTGAGGATTGGTTTTTTGTAATAGTTGAGTGTGAGAGTTTGCTCCTCCTATTGTAATTCTGTTCTTGATATTGAATAGAAGAATTTTCCATTCCCAACACGGTCAATGGTAATTTGCTCAATTGTTCAGCCGAAAAACTGAAGAGGCGGAAGTTTTACTTTTGCTTATATAGTTTTAATAATCTTTCATTCTTTTACTTTATTATGTAATTCAACAATTTTATAATTGTGCATAGTTGACTACTTGACTAATTGTTTGAATAGTATAGTACTCCGATCCATAGTAAATTAGTGATGTGTACGGCATATTTGTATCTATGATACTCCCTCAGTCCCTCCCTATTTATATATTCCCTACATTTGGTTTTGACACAATATTTTAAGATAGAATAGTGTAGAAAAAGTAGGAGAGAGTGTGTAAAAGTATCAAAGAGAAGATAAGAAGTAGATAAGTTGAGTATTTTATAAAGGATAAAC